ATATGAGAAGGGTCTTTTTCAGACTGTCTCTATTCTCATATTATACCACATGTACAGCCATATGCACAACCAAATCCCCTGGTCTCAGCTAGCCAATGGCAGTTCCCCATCACTGAGACTGAACACAGTCCACAAGGCCTAACTTGAGTTTCCCTACCCTCGGGGTTGAACTCCACTCAGTTCTGTTACAGGTTTCCCCTGCCCTTTCTTTAAAGATGTTCAAAGTTGGGAGCTCAGAAAACTACCCTTCATGAGCACCTATGCCTCTGCAGAGTTGGTCTAAGGACTGGCCCAATCAGGAGGTTTGAGAACAGGGGCGGGTGGCACCTTCCTTACTGGATCTGTTGTCGCGCAGTCCAGGAGGTCGTGCACCCGCTGGGTGATCTGAGGCAGGCAGGCAGCTGAAGAGACCCCCTCTGGGGTCTTTGGGTCCTTGCTGGGCCTGTTTTCGTGCAGTCCGGGAGGTCGTGCACCCGCTGGGTGAAGAACTCTTAATTACATATGAAATATGATAGCTATTGAAAATTTTTAATTTCTCTTCAATATTATAATTAGTTTCCTCTCTTCATTTTAAGGAATTATATGGTATATATTTTCTCTGTGGTATTGTGAGAGGATTTTTTTTGACAGGGTCTCGCTATGTAGTTGAGGCTGTCCTTGAACTCAATGTGTAGCCCAGGTTGGCCTTGAACTCGTGGCAATGCTCGTGCCTCAGCCTCCCAAGTTCTAGAATTATAGGCATGCACCATCATGCCCAGCAAGCTTTCTTGTTTTTCGGCCTATACATAAAAATTTGTCTGTGATCAAGACTCTTCATGGCAAGTTGACCTCTGAACAGGAGAGCACTTAGATAAGACAGTATTTTTCCTAATGAGCTTTTCTAGGCTTCCCTCCCTCTTTTCAAATATTATAAAATATTTGACTATCTCTTTTATGCCTGTATATTCTAGGTGCTGCAGATAGACCAGTGAGTAAAAAATTCCTTTTTATGGACAGTACATAAATAACAGTGACTTAAACAGATGAATGAAATTTTAATGCAGTATCATTAAATGCTCAGAATAAAAAATGCAAAACTTCAGCTTTATGATTTAAAGGTGGCTATAAATACAGGTGAAGTTTAATGTCTTTTTATTGGGGTAGCCCACTCAAGGGAAATTCACTAAGTCAAAACATAACTATGAAAGAGCATTCCATTTACTAGTAGGTATTTTACCTTATTTAAAAGAAAAAAGCTTGTTCCTAAACAAACCTTGTTAAAAATTTCAAACTGGGACCAGTGGATAAAAGCATAAAAGATAATGCATAAGATAAATGTTCCTTTAGAACCTAGTTTCTTAAGGTTTATTAGGAAATTACCATAAAAATTTATCATGCTTCTTAATAGTTTATTGTGTTCGGGAACCAGGAAATGTTTTCAGATAACTGACCTTCAAGTTTTGCAATTAAGTTAATGAGTAAGTGGTTTGGTATGAATTTATGGAAAACTTAAACTTTTCAAGAAAATTTTATTACAGGTCTTGAAAGAAGGGCAGCTGAATTTGTGTTGGATTGATGAGACATACCTGCAATTCATATATAGTAAATGTATAGTTACTGCTTCAGTAGCCTCTCTGGGAGAATAATATGCAGTGTAATAATACAGCTACAGGAAGTAGGGTGAAAACCGCTCCAAATGTACATTTTCTGACCCAGTGTAGATATAGAAGTATTCACTTTTTGTACCTCCTATCATCCACGTGCTTATCACTACTTACTGTTTTTCTTTAATTCAAGTTTCCAGGTAGAGAGTGTTAAGTGGGCTTTTCTTCATTTTGCTGGTCTGCCTTTAGACAGTTCTGTTGCATCTCCCTTGGTGCAGCTATGCCAGAAGTTCTTTGGAGAGGAGCATCTTGGAGATAAAACCAGTCTCAGAGCATAGGCCCTTGTCGTATGACTTCGTGTGTCAGGCAGAGGAGGATGCGTTTGTGTGTGCCTGAGAAGTCTGCACTTCTGTCTCCTTGAGCCTCCAGAGTCAGTGGCTGTGGCTGTGGACACTGCTGAGCCTCTTGTTACTTCTTAGCCAGAGAAGTGAGAGTGAAGTCGGGTCTTGGGATGGGCAGGAGAGAGAGCCCCTTCTAGTATTCTCTTTCTGGTGTCTTTTCCTTAGTTCTGGAGTCCAAAGTCCCTGTGACTTTTTGTTCTCTTTTCCATCACAATGAGTGATTTAAAAACATTCCTACCCTGGCTAATAACTTGGGAAACTCAAAATTTATAATTTTCTCTCCCCCTCCTGCCAGGTGCTGGATAGTTTACTAGTCCAGTATGGAGTGGTGGAGACCTGTGAGCAAGGTACATGTCTTCTGAATTGCTTTCAAATTTGTAGAAGGGAGGAAATAGAAAGAAAACTAACTTATTTTTTGTTTTTCTCTTCCTTTAGTGAACACTGACTCGGAAACTGCAGTTGTAAATGTCACCTACTCCAATAAGGACCAAGCTAGACAGTAAGCAGTCTGAAATTTTCTATCTATATGTAATAATTAGGTTAAGCACAGTAACGTATTTTGTGGATTTCTAAATTGGAGAAAAGCTGGTAGGTAGCAAAACAACTTTATTTTGTAAATTTTGACACTGCAATTATTCCTTTCTTAAGTTTGAATGTCTATTAAGAATACAGGGCCCGGGGTTTTAGCTCAGTGGCATGACACTTGCCTCATATAAATGCAAGGTGCTGGAAAAAGGAAAAAAAAAAAATGCATTGGGCCAGGCATGATGGTGCCTGCTTGAATCCTCGCTAGCCTGAACTACATATTGGGCTCTGTCTCAAAAAAAAAACCCCAAAAAACAAAAACGGGGCTGGAGATATAGCTCAGTGAAAAAGCCTATTTATGAGGCCTTGAGTTCTATCCTCAGCACCCCCACCCCACCAAAAAATATGCATTGGTTAAGGCTGCATACATACAATAAGGCTTTCATACAGTTATAGAATGATGTAGTGTGAAGTTGAACTACATATCTTGTGCAAAATGACCTGGTCCTGGGTATTGTTTCCAAATTATTTGAATTTTTCTTGCTAATATGATATATGATGTATTGTTGATTTATCTAATGCTGGTAAGTTTATCCTGTATTAAACCAACCATAGTTGAATGTCTTCTTGCTCTCTTCATGCTCTAACGATTAGTATTGTTATTTAGGAGTGGAAAGACATTGGACCAATATAACTAGGTTTTAGATTTAGGGAAAAAGTAATTCCAATGTAATGAACAAGTCTTCACAGAGCAGTCCCTCCTAGGAAGGCAGGCTTTGAATGACCTATTGAACTGACTAAGACTAGAAAGAAGCCTTTGACAGCTTCACTGAGAACATAAGCATTGGGAGATATAGTACACCAAGTACCAGTCAGCACAACACTTCCTTCACATACAGTGCCGGCAGGACCAGAACCTGCCCTTTCTGAGGGAAAATTGAGAGAAAGGAGCACACTAGCTGACCCCAAGTCCTGAAGAGCAAAAGTGCAGTTTCAGCTAGATAACCAAGGGAAGTACCAATTCATGGAGGGACTAGGAAAGGAAAGATAAGCCTGAGAAGGAGAGGGAACTTTGCCTAACACAAAGAGAAGTTTATTTTAAAATTGGTAATTGTCCATCACGTTGTCGCTGATTCACATTACTTGACAAGGGAGTAGAGGTTTGTTCTGGCTCATGTTTTAGGCCATACTTGGCTGGCTTCAGGGTAGGACAGAATGGTGGAGGAGAGCTGCTGACAGCATGGTGGACAGGAAGCAGGCAGATTAAGGGAGGTGCCTTCCCAGTCACATCTATAGTGGTCCACCTCTTCTGACTAGACTTTGCCTCCTAACCGCAAGTCAGCTATTCTGCCCCATAATCCAGTCACCTTCCAAACATGAGGCTTTGGGGACCATTTTAGATCTAAGACATAGCAGTAACAATACTCATGGATCAAAATTTAAATAACTTAAAGATGTACATAGTACACATCTTCCAGCATTGTTTCCAGCTGCTTTACCCTCTTTGAGATAATCATGTGGGCGATAAATACATGCTCATATTTTTCTTCCTTTTTACACAAATGATACTATAGCATTTGAGTGTTTTGTATACATAAATATGTTGTATAATTGGATAGAATATGATTGTTTAGATATGGGATGAATTAGTTATCCCAAATTGGATATTTTGGTTTCCATTCTCTTGCAATTATGAACAGTGCTGTGTAGAATCCTTTTATTCGTGGCACTTTGTGTGTGCTCATGTGAATATGTGCGCACCTATGTGTCCATAGGATAAATTCCTAGAGGTAGAATTGCATTTCTAATTGTGGCATCCTTCATAGAATTTGAACTAAGCTGGGTGTGGTGGCACACACCTGTAATCCCAGCAGTCAGGAGGCCAAGGCAGAAGAATCCTGTGAGTTCAAGGCCAGCCTGAACTAATGAGATCCTGTTTTAAAAAAGAACTTAGTAGTTTAAATTTTTATCAGCATTGTGAGATTGTTTCTCCATACTTTCCCCAATGTAAGATTTTATCAAATATTGCCAATTTAGTAGAGAAAAATGATATGTCATTGTTAATTTTTATTTCTCTCTTAACTCTAGGCTTTTGATATGTTTTAAAACATTTTATTTTTGCTTCTTTTTGTGTTTTTTGTTCATTCTTGTTTTTTCCCCCACTAGTACTAGGTGTCAAATTCAGGGGTGTCATCACCCTTTTTTTATGTTTTGGTACCGGGGATCAAACTCAGGACCTTGTGCTTATTGCCACTGAGCCAGGTGCGATGCCTCTGAGCCAAATCCCTGGCCCCCTTTTTGTTTATTTTTTAACTTGTGAGACAAGGTTTCACTAAATTGACCAGTCTGGTCTCAATCTTAGGATCCTCCTGCCTCCGCCTCCTAAGTAGCTGGACTTGCAGGAATATACCTTTGTACCTAGACTGTTAAAATTTAAGTTTATATGAAGTATTAAACAGCATTAAATTGTCATTTAAGTATTAAATTGATATTTTATAAATTTTGTTCTTCTGTATCGTAAGAAAAAGAGGAAAATTTCACCTTTTAAACTCAGTGGATTGGGAGCACTGTGTGGGCAGTGGAAAAGCACAGGCTGTCTTTGTTTGTTTTGTGTTTTACTCTTTCAAAGATCTATCTTGAATACTTGGTAGAGCCAGTTCCTTGTACATAGAAAATATGAGATAATAGGATAAACTGAAGGATATTTGGAGATTGTCAGATGTCTATCCTAGCTGACTTATTTGAAAATTTACGTTGAGCTAGCTAGGTAAGGGGAAAAAATGTCAGTTTAACAGTTAAAAGTGAGAATGTACATTGGAGATACAACTTACACAGTTTTGATAAGCATAAGAACTTCAGTAGAGACAAGGTAGCTGACATTTAATTCCCTCTCCCCTTTAATAAATTTCTAAGCATGAAAAATTTGAGAACAGGGTAGACTCATTGGCTAAGGCAGAATCATCGCTGAATGTAATACTAACATGACAGCAAGCTGATGTGTGATGTTATTGTTCTAAAAATTATGTATAAGGATAAAGATTGACAGCGTCTTATTGATTCCAAGGAAGGTTGTTAGGCATTGTGTGATTTAGGTAACTAGGTAATGTAAATGAGTAAATTAGGCATTTCAATAAGTGAAGTAGTTGTAATATTCTTGTTTTAATATTCATCAGTTAACTCTTATTAAGTACTAGCAATTGATTTTAAGTCGCCAATGAGGAAAGTCAGCTTTATCTTCAAGGTCGAGCCTCAGTGGTAAAAGGAAAGTACTGTATTTGGAGAAGCACCTGCACTTAGTTCCTGCCCTATAAGAATAAGTCTGTAAGACTTCCAAAGATCAAGCAGAATTAGAAAGCAGTTGAGTATTTAGAGAAAGTAGATCTAAAGAATAGAAAACACAGTTTTGTGCCAGTGTTATAAAAATTGTTGACTTTCCAAGGCCCCCCCCCCCCGCAAGAGGTATGGAATGTGCTTTCATTCTGTGAGGATAATAAATGCTGAGAGGCACTGATGTAACAGGAAAGCACAGGCCCTGCAGGCAGGCCACTGAGACGCTGTGACCTTGACCTTTGAGCTTCCGTTTTCTCAGCTATAACTGTAAGAATTTAAAGAAATATGGGCCTGGAATACATATTAACTGTTGTTAAACCCACTTGTCCTGGGCTGCTTCTGCAGCCCCTTGACTGACTTGAGCGGGGCAGGCTGGTGCCCCACAAGCTGGCTTCACTACTGCTTGCTGCCTAAAGTGTCGTTTCTCTCCCTCAGCTCTCACACCTTCAGGTCACGAGGCCCATGTTGATATTCTTAGTTGAGCTCTTTTTTAGTGTCTGGTACTCGGGAGTCTGTGGGACTGGGATGGGCCCGTGAAGGTGTGAGTAGAGCTTGGAAGTGTCGAGGACACATTGCAGAGTGCAGCTGCCTGCCTGGGTTATACCCGGCCCCCCCTTTTCAAGCTGTGATTGTGGTCAAGCTATTTGTCATGGTCGACCAACATCTCTAAAATGGGAATACAGCCCTTAGTGGATGAGGCTGCTGAGAGGAACTAGGGTAATGCCTTCAAAACACTTAACGTAATGCCTGGGTTTGGGAGCTCAGAAGTTAGCAGCTATTAGGCATTTTCCTCAGATGTTTCATTGCTGCTGGGAATCTCTCCTCTCACCCAGTGTACTCTGCTTCAAATAATGCCTGGCTGCTGCTCTGAGGAGCTGAGGACCTAGCTGCAATGTTTGCAGCTGCCTCTTTTTGTTACTTAAAGCTCTGATAGCCATTTCTAAGAGGACTCCTCAGATAATAGGGCTATGGCTTTGAGTCAGGCTTTAACATGGAAATTTCTGCCACCTTGTGGCTACGAAAAAGGCTCAGAGCACCCGTATTATCAGACATACAAATACTGGTTTTCTGCTTATCTTGAATTACTAAAATAATGAATTAAATTAATTTTTAAGAGGTCATTAAATTAATTTAAAGGTCATTAAAAAGAGAAGTGTCACTTCAGTGAATGAACTGGGGGCAAAAGAGGCTTAAGTCTCTGGCTGATCTGTTTCTCTCCTTCCATCCGGGTGCTGAGATAGAGCTGTCAAGGACAGGCTGGACTCTGGGAGGATTTGCCACCTTTGTCTAAGAAATAACCCCGCGAATGTGTTGTGTACTTTGTGTACTTGCACTTTGTCTTCCTCAGGTTTATTTCTGGTGTTTATTTTTGTTAGAGAACAGGAATGTTCATTCTTTGAAACTCAAGCTACATCTCCTTTTGTATCAGTGTGAGGGTTGTATAGGTAGGGTTAGAAGTGTCTGAAGCAATTTGGCTCATGGATGCAGGGAGGAAATTCCCATTTAAACTTCAAAAACATGTAAATAGGCTTGTTATGGAAAAAGAATGAGAGAAAGCAGTGGGGCAAAGGAATTTCTTGACATTTAAAGATAACCACTATTAAATTTGCTATAGTTTTGTAGACTTTGCTCCATGCAGCATAA